TGTTCTCATCACTGATCCCACTCCACTGTCAGTGGCTTCTTTTAGATCCCTCCACGTACCCTGAGGGTTCTGTTGCTTCCATTTTAATAGTATCTGGTATATTTGCTCGGTTCTCTCGTTGGGGGAGGCAAAAGAGATCCCTTCATAATCAATCTTGCTGATGAGTCTATCAGCTAGCATTGAAGGACTGAGGATACATTTCTCTGCGAAGCAAAGGAGAGCTTCTTGAGGGACTACTTCGTCTTCCTCCATGATTAACGATGATTACACGCTGACCATGAATGTCATTTATTGTGTGCAAACAAAATTTTGCAACAACAACAACATTCCGGGAATGTTAATTGGGAAACACCCACGTCCAGCACAAACATCACATCACGTGATTAATGTTACAAGAAGACTGAAGAAGCCATTGTGGTCAACCTCTGGTTTGACAATTGACTCTGATTGACATCAATCACCAATGTCTGGAGACGAAGAGAGAGAAAACGGGAGGAAGAAGAAGTACAATAGTTTTATTAGACCTAGTCTGTCAAAGTATGCTGATGAATGGAAGCAGACGTACGGAATAGAGAAAGATTTGGTCAATCTTCACCAACCTGAGGGTTATCAATCCACCGCCTGTCAGATCATGGATAAGTCAAATGCTGAATTACTCAAGATTCAATCACAGGTTCTTTATGAAACACCCGAAAATGTCAAATCGAAGGATAAAGATAGTGGTACCAGAGAGAAGGAATGTGTCACTGAATGTATCGGTGCTTGTAGTGTGGTGACTGATCATAGCCTAAAAAACTGCCAAGAAACTGTTATTGAAGTTAGCACTAGTAAAAGAGAAGACAATGGACATTATCGTTATCCAACACGTGAAGAGAAGCTAGAGGCATTATGGATTAAAGAGAATGGCAATGTTGTAAAAGATCATGTACACTCATCACCTGGTCTACCATTAGTATGTCAATTGATGAACACATTAAGGCAAGCACTCCTACTGTGTAGTGTCTCTGATGAGACTTGTCAAAGACCTTTGTTACACGTTAATAGCGAATCAGACCTGGCATTTATCATAATGGAGGGCCTTAAAGAACTAGCCTGTAAAAATGATCAGAGCGCTATTGATAGGCTTCAGCATATTTTGAAGGAGAGTCTGGCCATATCTTACGAGGTGGTGGAAGAAGGAGGGGAAGATGATGATGTAAGTTCTTATGATGCTGTACAGTTCTTAAAAGCTTTGCTAGATGTGATTGCATGTATGGGAAGGAAAAGAAAAAATGACACAAATGAATTGACTTTTGACAAAAATAGCAACAACCTCAGGAATAGTAGGAGGCCTGCACTGTTGGATGATAATGTAATTCACAAGAGGTATAATATTGAAATATTTAATGAATTAGTTAACTCTGAAATAATTGGAAGTACATCTGAAAAGAAGGGAAGAGAGGATATGACAGCATTACAATTGAAATTCAAAGAAGAAAGAGTTGAAGGTGGAATTTTGTCTGCTATAGCAATTAAGGAAGGATCATTGTTATTGAAAGAGATGAAAGTCTTTGCTAGTACATCAGCTACTACTAGTGGGAGAGGAGGAGGAGGAGGAAAGAAGAAGAAAATGAAGTTGAGTCGAGTTACAAGAGAGATAAGAGCAAGAATGAAGAGAAGGACAGAATTGGAGAGAGAAGAAT